AAATGCAAAAGTGGTGAAACTCCAATTTCAAAAGGGGATAAATTGCACAAAGGGCAGTGTCCAAACAATAATTTTGAAAGAAAAGGAATGGATAACATACCATATGCAAGATTGGTGGGGAGTTTGATGTATGCACARGTCTGCACTAGGCCTGACATTGCCTTTGCAGTCAGCATGTTATCAAGATTTCAATCAAACCCTGGTCACCTGCATTGGATAGCCGGCAAAAAGGTATTGAGATACTTGAAAGGAACAGCAGACTATATGCTTACATATAGGAAGTTGGATGATCAAGAATTGAAAATAGACTGTTATACAGATGCATCTTATAAACAGGACTACGATGACTTGAAATCCACTTCTGGCTATATTTTCATGTTAGCAGGAGGGGYTGTTTCATGGAAGGCTAGTAAGCAATCATTGACCGCAACTTCTACCTTTCAAGCTGAGTATGTGGCAATATTTGATGCCACATCTCATGCTATCTGGTTAAGAAATTTTGTTTCTGGGTTAAGAATTCTAGATTCAATAGAAAGACCTCTAACCATATACTGCGACAACTCGGCTGCTGTGTTTTTCACCAAGAACAACAAAAGGAGCAGTGGATCAAGGAACATAGATGTGAAGTATTTTGCTGTAAGAGAGAATGTGAGAGATAAGGAAATTGAAGTTCTAAAGATTGGAACAAAGGATCAGCTAGCCGATCCATTTACGAAAGCCTTACCASTTGAATGCTTCAAGAAACATGTCAAAAACATGGGCATCTCTAATATTATYGATTAAGTGGATACGTTATATCCTTGAAGTAAATGATATTTTTATTTTATCATTGACTTATGTATGCATATTGATATAAGATGTTCTAAAATTCTTCAGTTTCTAAAATTTGTACAAATAAGGATGATAATGCATTTGCATTCGGTATTTGCTCTGAATTTTTGGATATTATACATAAGTGCTTAACATTGAATTAAGTTATGATCAAATATCATCAAGCTGTGACATTGATCAATAGAGGATGAGATACCACATATTGCATTATATGTATGATTGATTCTTAGTCATCATGACTATGCAAGTCTGCTCAATATCATTGAGTATTAAACTCACATATTCTGATAAGTAAGAATCTGTTGAWAAGAAAATATAAATCGACAAACATAATCAGGTGCACACTTAAGATGGTCAAGCTAGTTCAATATGTTATCTYGTTCAGTGGGAGATTGTAGTACATGAAGAGAACAAGTAACATATTTGCTAAATTCATATTTTTATGACCAGTTGAATTATGTAAATTAAGAGTTGATTTATAATACTTATAAGTTTATTGAATAATCAGTCTTGTGAATACATATTGTGGTATAAATATAAAGTATGAAGGGACACAACCCTTGGTATGGTGGTTATTAACAGTTACCTGATGGGGGTAACTATTAGCCTGTTAAGAACGTATACATATAACATCCATACCCTGTTTTTCACGCCTCATCCAGTACACAAATCTCTGCATATCCTTATCCATCAAAAGGGCAGAATATGGTGTGAAACTGGAAGAAGACGATGGAGCAACAAGTACACAACACAGCATCAAGCCCCAGGTTAGATTTCGTTCATTTACAGTCTCGTTTTTCATTGATTCATGTTTGATGGTTCATATATAGAATCTTACACCAACCTCATTTCATACTCAGCTTGGCCAAGATATTCGTGAAAACATATAACTTGGCCTTTATGACATACCTTGTAGTGATCATCATCCTGATAAAATACAAAGACCAAATATATAATTTATCATAATAGAACATGAAAAATAACCCGCTCACAAAGCCAAGTGAGTTTGCAAAATAAGCAACTTTCAATTAAGATTTGGCACGCTTGAGTTAAGCATGAAAATTTGTCTCAGCAACATGTAAAAAAAAACATATAACCCAATTCAATGTAATTATGGAAGTTGTAGAAAAAATACGAAAACTAATATATTTTAAGATTTTATATTAAGGGGGTTTTTGATTGCTTATAAAAACAACTTATTGACTTAGGRGCCGTTTACCAAATGCTTACTCGGGTAAGCACTTATCAAGTCACATTTCCTTAACGGATGAATATGACAAGTACCAAGAATCTTACCTGGTAAGAGCGAATGCACGAATCGAGAGTCTTACCTGGTAAGTGATGGCGACGACTCTTACCACGGTTAGCGCTTACCGGGTAAATTATTACATACTATATCATTTGGTAGACTAAAATATTACCCAATAAGTAAGAGATAGAATTGAAATTTATCGTTAAGCGCTTATCGAGTAAGTGTTTAGGTAAACGGCCCCTAAGTCACAACTATTTAGTCATCAGTTAATATGTCAAGTGATGACCAAAAATATTACCAAAAATAATAATTTATAAGTGTTACATCTTGTTTGTTCATCATCAGATTTTCAACTAAACAGGCTCTGGATGGTATGATTAAGGTTGAGTTTCGGTTAAAATGAAACTTATGTTGAGAATGGTACAAAAGGAATATTTAAAAATTACATTAAAAAAGACGGACTATTCTAAAAAAATCAAACAGAAAATGAATGAATTTGATTTAACTTTTTTTATATTTCAAATCAAAAACTATCTAAAGTTTGTTAATTATAAGACATCAATTCATTATCTTTTCTCTTTCTTTTTATCATTTAATACACATGAATTTAATTTAAAAAAACAATAACAAATATTTGTATTGGTTTTTTTTTTTCTTGCAATGAAAAAGAAACACCAAGAAAGCAATGAGTGGCCACGTCATGACATTATCCATCAAGCAGTAGTCTCCACCAAAATGAATGGCAGCTCTGCGTTCCCATCGATTTTCAGTAGGCTCCACTCCAGAATGAGAGAATCAACCAATACCCACCAACGAAAAGTAGGAATTGAGAACTGAGAAGGTTTTGAATTCCTCCAAACCACACAAGTCTGAAAGAGATGAATTGGGTAAGGGAAAGTTGAAAAGAAGGAGCAAAAGGATGGTTGAAGAGAGATCATGAGTTTGCAATGTTGTTGTCGATGGCAACCACAAATCTTTCATCAACATCTCCTCAAACAAGTCTTTATGCTTGTTTCAGTTGCAGTCTTAACCCCTCTTCAAGAAGATACTCTCCTCATTCTGTCTTGCTTCCTCACACACCACCTTCTTACAATACCCTCGTTTTCCAGGTTCTCTCTCTCTCTCTCTCTCTCTATATATATATATATATATATACATATACATACAAGATGGATAAAGAAACCTAAAGGGGTTTGTGGGTACCTTTTTGTTTTGATTTAGCAATGTAGTGTTAGGGTATAAAGATTTGATTTGTCCCAAAAGAACTTTGGTTGCAAATACGAGTAGGGATGTAGGTGAAATTGGTGTAAACAATTGTTTCATTTTCTTTGAAATTTGAATTAGTAAATGGGTGGCTTTAATGGTATCATTACATGTAACAATCAAGAAGGACATGATGCAATACCCTTTGATCTATGCATGCTCTTGTGAGTTGTGACCGTGGTTTAATGGTTTCGCAAGTTTTGAAGCGATGTCAGCCACATTAATGAGGTGGAAGATTGTGCATTTTGCTTGTTAGGATCAACAATTTGCATATATATATATATATATATATAGGTCTAATCAAGAGAGAACTCGATTGTTTGTGATAATTGTGAAATTCAATTTCAACCACATATTATTAATAATCAATGATTATTATTAAACATATTAATTTTGATAACTATTCATTAATTTGGCAATTATTCATTAATTTTCAAATAATTTAAATTTACTGATAATATATAGAGGTAAATTAGTCTTTTTAAAATCTCCCTCCTCTCTCTCTCCGATCAAGAATTTTTAACAGTAAAACACAAAACAAATATGATACATTGTGATACCCAATAATTTATAACAGTAAAACACAAAACCAATTGTGTTACACATTGTGATACCCTTGTGATAACGTTTTGAACATGGGTTGATAATAGATGTGATTTGAGTCTTAGGTCACACACAACCACAATGTTATGCATGATTGTGATACAATTTTGTTGAGATAATTAAGAAAACCGAATTTGATAACTATTAATAAGAAAAATATTTAAATTATAATTAATCATTTTACTAAAACACCCTTTACCTATTAATTAAGGTAATACAATTAATATCATAAAATAATTGGCTCATATTGAACCTTACGGCAAACTAATTAGTTCTTATTTGATTAGGATATATATATATATATATATATATATATGTAAAAGCAATATCAACCACATTAATAAGGTGGAAGATTGTGCATTTTGCTTGTTAGGGTCAACAATTTGCATATATATATATATATATATATCTATACACATATATAGACAGGTTGAGCCGTTTAGGAAAACCAAAAGAAAAATGGAAAATTAAGAAACACGTTGATAACCTTTAATATGGATACGTGCATACCAGTAATTTTAAGCGTATGCACATGAAATTACTAGTATACATATGTGCATACCTTTTAGATTCTGTTATAACATTTGCGGTTTTGACCGTGAAACACCAGATCGCATGGGTATGTGAAAAATAAAAGAGTAATTTTTGTAACTTTTACAAATAGGTGGTACATAAACACACCCATGTGATTCACATATGAACTATATATTCATATGTAAACTCGTTAATTAGTTCACATGTGAACTATTTAACTTATTCATATATGAACCCACAAAAATTAGTTAAATATTTCAATTTTTCATTTTTTTGGGTTTTCCTATGAACCCCCCTCATATATATGTATATGAGAATGAAAGTTATGGTGAGAATGGTAAAAAGAGACATCCATCCTTAGATCAATCCTAATTGATAATCAACACTAACGTGGTGCATCGAAATGTCCCAGATCAATTCATGTGATAGGCGCAATTCATGGGGTGGTGATGAGATTAAAATTGATCAATGGTCCACATCCCTTACGCTTCTCAGTTTAACTTCTATTCTAATACGATACTTCGTTACATATATATATATATATATATCTATATAGGGGAGCGTTCAAATAAAAACCACCTAATTTGTACAAACCGTACAAACTTCATTCAACTAATCATAATTTTTCATTTTGTTCATTTTTTTGTAATTATGAGAGGTTGATTAATCATTTTTATT